AACTTCTATCTTTTTGGGGGGGGGTGGCCTGAACTTCTTTTTTACTATGAACTGTTACTTACCCAGATCTTTCCCTGACATTTCTCCAGAACGTTATTATTGGAAGGGTGGTCACCAGACCAGCGGCAGCACTCAGAGTCCCAAGAGCTTTTTAGAAATGCAGTCTTATGCTTCACTCCAGGCCTTCTGAGTTAGAACCTTCATTCTAACAAGATCCCCACAATGTTTCTTCCCTGGTGGCTTAGCTGGTAAAGAATCCACCTGCAATGCAGGAGTCCTGGGTTCCACCCCTGGGTTGGGAAGATCCCCTGTGGAAGGGAATGGCTACCCACTCCATTCTGGCTTGGAGAATTACATGAACTGTATAGTCCAAGGGATCACAAAGAGTAGGACACAACTGAGCAACTTTCACTTTCAGAATGTTCTGTGTGTTCATGACAGTTGAGGAGTGCTAGTATGGAATACATTCTCCAACTTTTTCTTCTTGAAAACTTTTGTTCAAGCCCTAAGTTTATTTTTTAAATGCCCAATAAAAAAGGGTAAAACTATTTTCAGCTATTTTATTGTGCTGTTTATTCAGATTTTGTGAAGAATGATAAAAATCAGTCAATTTTGTAGTGAATCTTGAGACTTAAAGTAAAAATTTTATGTATTAGAGAGAGAAAGAGACAAGGTAAATGTTCTCAGTTCAGTTCAGTCGTGTCCGGCTCTTTGTGACCCATGAACTGCAGCACATTAGGCCTCCCTGTCCATCACCAACTCCCAGAGTGCACCCAAACCCATGTCCATTGAGTAGGTGATGCCATCAAACCATCTCATCCTCTGTCGTCCCCTTCCCCTCCTGCCCTCAATCTTTCCTAGCATCAGGGTCTTTTCAAATGAGTCAGCTCTTAGAATCAGGTGGCCGAAGTATTGGAGTTTCACCTTCAACATCAGTCCTTCCAATGAATATTCAAGACTGATTTCCTTTAGGATGGACTGGTTGGATCTCCTTGCAGTCCAAGGGACTCTCAAGAGTCTTCTCCAACACCACAGTTCAAAAGCGTCAATTTTTCGGCACTGAGCTTTCTTTATGGTCCAACTCTCACATCCATACATGACCACTGGAAAAACCATAGCCTTGACTAGACGGACCTTTGTTGACAAAGTAATGTCTCTACTTTTCAATATGCTGTCTAGGTTGGTCATAACTTTCCTTCCAAGGAGTAAGCGTCTTTTAATTTCATTAAAATGAATGAAATCACCATCTGCAATCACCATCTGCAGTGATTTTGGAGCCCAGAAAAATAAAGTCAACCACTGTTTCCCCATCTATTTGCCATGAAGTGATGGGACTGGATGCCATGATCTTAGTTGTCTGAATTTTGAGCTTTAAGCCAACTTTTTCACTCTCCTCTTTCACCTTCATCAAGAGGCTCTTTAGTTCTTCTTCACTTTCTGCCATAAGGGTGGTGTCATCTGCACATCTGAGGTTATTGATATTTCTCCTGGCAATCTTGATTTCAGCCTGTGCTTCCTCCAGCCCAGCATTTCTCATGATATACTCTGCATAGAAGTTAAATAAGCAGGGTGACAAATATACAGCCTTGACGTACTCTTTTTCCTATTTGGAACCAGTCTGTTGTTCCATGTCCAGTTCTAACTGTTGCTTCCTGAGCTGCGTACAGGATTCTCAAGAGATTGGGGATTTTGGTGTTTAAATGTTGACCTGTGCTTAGTCGCTCAATCATGTCTGACTCTTTGCTACCCCATGGACTGAAGTCCACCAAACTCCTCTGTCCATGGGGATTCTCCAGGCAAGAATACTGGAGTGGGTAGCCTTTCCCTTCTCCAAATGTTGACCTACTAGGAGGTAAAGCAGAAAAGCTGGTTACTTACCAATAGCACATGACATTTCAGAGTGCTTCCCTTTCATAGTAACTAGCAGACTGGACTGGCAGGAGGCTGTCAAGAGTGGAGATCAATCAGGAAGCATACCTCTTTATTTGACCATCACGTTCTAAGATTGGTTTCGGAAAGGATTGCTGGAACCTAAGGGAAAGAGAAGGAGAGTTGTGCTTCTCTTTGCTTTGGGGGAGGGGTTTGGATCTTGTAGGACACTTAGGGGCAAAATAATGTTTCCTATAAAATTGTGTTTGTCCTTTATTTCCTCATCTTCCATTAGTCTTTTCTATTTCCTGTAGCCCCTTACTTTCATTTAATCCCGATAGTTGCTTTTAAGCTAGCAGCCCTTTCCCCAACCAGGCCTTCACCTCTGTTTCTGTTGAGCTCCTGTCCTTTACCTACATCAGTGGTCCTCAGATGTGGACAGTTTTGTCCCCCTGCTCCTACGGAACATCTGAGATATTTTTGGTCACGACTGGGTTAGATGCTGGTAAAAGTCCTACAGTGGTCCAGGACAACCTTTCCCAGCAGAGAATTACCCAAAGTCTGTATTGCTGAGTTTGGGGAAACTCTAACCTGAATTTATAGCTGGAGTCCATGAATTTGTGCCTTTTTAATTCTCATTCACAAGCTTTCAAGAGTTCCACCATGGAATGAAGTTCAAACTCTTTGGCAAATGATACAAAACAATACAATATTTTTTAAAAAATTGCTTTCAAGCCTCATCTTTTGCTCTCATGGTTGGCCCTCTGTTAATGATAGATTGAAAACATGCAGTTTTCCCCAACAACACAGTTCCTATATGCTTCCTCAAGTGCATTTTTCCTAGCCTATAATATGTCTTTCTCCCTAGCTCAGTCTGTTTTTTGTTTTGTTTTGTTTCCTATCTAGACACACTCCTCCTTCAACACTGCTCAGACATTCATCCTCTCTGTGAAGGCTTCTTTGCCTCTCTTCTTCTTTTGGTACCTTGATTACATGTGTATTTTTAATATCACAGTGAGTGTTCAGTTTGCACAACTTTGTTACCTACTAGGTTATGTCCTCTTTTGGAGAGAAAGGTGTGTGTTTTAGTCGTCATTGTTTTCCAACTACTTGATACAAAGTAGGCTTTCACATGCTTTGTTGAAAATACATTTTCCTTCAAGGGATAAATAATAGTTCAGATACTTTGGAAATAGATGAGACTTTACCGTAATTTATGTTATCTGTAATGGGACTTCTATCTGTCATCTTCTTGCCTCTACATTGTGTTTTGTATTGCTGTATTGTTTTGTCTTTCAGGTGTCCTTTGTCTTTTGTTGCTTATAATGGTATTTAAATGGTATCACTACCTTAGACCATTTCATTCAGTATCACATGGAAAGTTTACTTTTGGATTAGACTTTAATCCCTGGCTATTTATTGAAGAATTTAAATCTGTAATGACACAAGTTTGGTGATCTCTTCTACCTAAGAGAAAAGGCCTTGGGCTAATTAAAAGTTTTGGGCGTGATGGGGTGGAGAGAGAGGAATAATAAATTCCTCTTTGGAAAAACAGGAAACATATGAGAGCTGTTGGGGAGGGAGAATCATACATGGATTCATTTAAACCTTTTTTCTATGTTGCTTAATGAACTACCATAAGAATAAATTTCACTAAAGTAGTAACTGGGTCAAAAACAAGTCTGGATTTATGAAGGATCTAAATAACAAAAGAACATTTAAAGCAATAATTCTCTTGCTTTCAAATGTGTGACTGGAATTTGGGTGTCCTTATATAGATCCTGCTTGACAGGTTGTGATTTTGTGTAAATAAATATTCTTTGATGTGTTGAACTTTTTTGATCAGATAATGTTTAGCCCAGACATTTTCTAAAACACAGATTTTAAATTAGTGAAGGCTTAATTAAGGCTATATTATTTTTGCTGTATGTCAAAGCCTCATTTGTTGTGAGCGATGTTATTAGAATAATAACTTGCTTTAAAATTCTTTCATTTGTAATTTGGTTGTGAAGAGTATATTTTTATTCTCATTTAGCAAAGTTGCCTGTGATGTCGACACAGAGGGTAATTGAATTGGCTCAAGATTGCACAGAGGTGGAAATATTGTAGCTTCATGAAACTTTACCCACTGCTGTAATTATTGGGTAGATGGGTAGTCTAGTGGCTATTCTAAGTTTAATTTCTGAAGAAAATTAATTTTAACTATTTACTTCTGCAGTCTTAAGACAGAACAATGAGTGAAGACAGATTTTCTTATTTTAAGTTTTAAATTAGATACCTTCCCAAGAATATATATAAGTATTCCTTAAAGGAAAAAAAAATTGCAATTTCTCTTTAAGATGCAATTTAGTACAGATTTGCTATAATTAATAGAAGGAAGATGGTGGAAACTGTCAGCCAACCACTATTAAAATTAATTACTACCTTTATTATAATGTTATCCAATGATTCTTGCTCTTATTAGATGGTTTATTTAGTATCAATCTGCTCAAATTACTGAGATTTATAAGACCAATGAAATTTGTGTATTTTTTTAAAGTCTGAGATTATTTCTTTTCATTGAGTACAAGTTGAAGAACACCTATGATAGATCAATTGGTACTCTGCCCTAGTTTTAAAATTGAAAAAAAAAAGTCCATTCCTTAGAAATTAGCTGCTTCTTTTAAGTGAGTAGTTCTCAGTAGGAAATAAGGTAGTGAGATGGGGAGCAGAAAAAGATACAGCATGAAGAATTTTGTTACGTGTATTTTGTGCCCTTGAAGCCATTTCTTCATATTGCATTGAGCATAGGTAAGTGCCAGTGGAAAAAATTTGGAAAGCCTTTACTTTGCTGATAAGTTAACTTCTGTTCATTAAAGTCTTAATAAACTCAGATTATAATGGATTTCACTAAAACATCTGTTGTTTTCTGTAATATTGTTGTTAGGACTGTGGGTTCTTTTGGAGATGTGTATGTTCTGGGGTGGGGATGGGGAATGGTGGGTGGTGATAAGGACATTAGAGGGAGTGTCTCAGAAATTTTACTTGTTTCCTAGTCCACCATTCCTGATACCTTCTGTGTGTTAGTTACTAGCTTAGATTAGTGTGGGGGTTGTTAGGAGTGGCCTGGTTTCTTTCCTTCTTTTTCCTAGCCAAGGAAGTATCGCCTGGGGATGCTGGAGGAGAGGCTAGTTCCGATGGGATCAAAGGCACGAAAAGCAAAGAACCCTATTGGCTGCCTTGCTGACAGGTGTAAATCAGGAGTACCCATCAATATGGTTTGGTGGAACAGAGTCACAGAAAACAATTTACAGGTAAAAATACTTTTTATAGACATTTTTGAAAGTGAATATATTGGCTGCTTTCTGTGTGGGGTGGTGGGTATGAGATTGGATGGCTTAGCTGATATACTTAGGGTTTTTTTTTTTTTATCAAAGTAAACTTAGTGGCCCATTAACTATGATTTTGTTTTGTGGCTTTTTTGCACTTTCTCTGCTTTTATGTTCCTATTCTTTCATTAAATTTAGTTTTTCCTGTTGGATTTTGTTAACAATGCAGTTTAATTATTTTTAATACACAAAGTTGTTCAGGGTACTACATTAAAAAGTCATATTATAAAACTGATTACAGAAAATCTCATTTATTTGGAGTCTGAATAACAGAAAGCTCTATGTGTTGTCTTTTTGTACATTTTTACTAGGAGATTAAAAATTGTGTCTAAACAAGCTTGTCAAGTGTTGGCTCTGAAGCCAACTTCAGTAGTATGTTGTCATAGATGCATTTCAGTCTTTGCATATTCTGTGCTAATGAAAATGAATTTTTATAACTCACAGGCTAGCTCTTGTATGACTGAATCTGAAGTACCCACCGAATAGTTTGGATTATATCCCATTTTAATTTGGATTATAATGATTATAGTCTCATTTAAAGACATTGGTAATTGTATTAAATGGATAGCTCTACTAATCAAAATTTCAGTTTGGCTGGAAGTGGAATATCTTTCATCCCAAACTTCCTGAGTAAATTCGTATTGTTTTTAATATATTGCTAGTCAAAAGTCTGTAACTCCACATCTACACATCACAGTCAGAAAAATTACAAAATTAACAACTTGGCTTTATTTCTGTCACCAGCTTTGTATTATGAAGAGATTTCACAGTACTTTATTCTGTTTAATGTTAATACCATACCAGTATCTGTGCTGCCTTGGGCACAGAAATAAAAGTTGTTCTGAAAATACTGCACATGTCACTGATACTTTGGTAGTGTTTTTTCTAAATACAAGGAAAAATAGGGACATGAGCGGTGTTGGGGGGATCCACATAATCAAATACTTAAAATCCCCGGTGGAAAGTCTGAGATATGTCATTTATGAAAAAGAATATAGTTTACTGAATTTTTGTTTTTGAGATCAGTAGAGAGATTTGATGTGGTTACTGTTAGAATTATTTTTCAGTTTTAAAAAGAAAGCCTGAAAATAAATTGGGTCCCAATTAATTAAGAACAGATACAGGTGGAACTGGAACTACATGTTGGTTTCAGGGGACACATGGGTAATGCAGAGGCATGGCCACTTGACTGCCCCACCTGCCCACGGCTGTCCTTCCCTCTTATCTCCGTGGTAGCTTTGAGGTACCTCTTTTTAGCATGGCTTGGAAAATCATTAAGTTAGTATAAGAATATGTTCTAGAATATGCTTTATTTTTAATTTAAAAAGCTAGTGATAGATTTTGGAGAAGGAAATGGCAACCCACTCCAATATTCTTGCCTGGAGAATCACATGGATGGAGGAGCCTGACAGGCAGCACTCACCGGGGTCGCAAAGAGTCAGACAGGACTGAGCAACTAACAACACGGTAATAGATTTGCATTCAGTGTGTTAAAGACTGAATTGATGTTATCTGAATCTAATACTTCAAATACTAATACTACTTTGTGCTTCAAATAGTTGAAATAGTTCTTTTTCTTTTTCTTTTTTCCCCCCACTTTTAAGGGACATAAGGAATGCCTTATTAGCTTAGTCTGATGTTGGAGGGACAGTGGTACCGTACAGTATCAGTCACGTGGTGTCTATTACTGTCTGTGGATTCCTAGATTGGGTACCTGGTGCTGTTTATTCAGAGCAAAGAGTATGTCAGTGCAGTTTTCTTTTCTATTGGAGTCTTTATCTTTTTTTGTTCTATAAGAAAAGTAGCTTACATAAATCAGTTCTATATGGACTCTTTTTAATTTTGTGTGTTTGTTTACTTTTAAGTAGTTTGGATTTTTCACAGATAAAAATCTCTAAAGTATTGTGTAGCCAGATATATTCATCTTTCCTGTTTCATTTGTTTCCTTTCTTTCAAAGCTTAAGTCTTCTCAATCCTAAAGTCAGAAAAATACTTATCTGTATTTTATTTTAGAATTATAGTTGTGTTTCTTAAATAGTTCCCTTGTACCAGACACTGCACTAAGCTCTTTACATATTTTGTCTCTTTTGGTCTCTTATCGGACAGTCGTTATTCTTAAGAAACATTTTTAGAGAAGCTAAGTAATGTTAACTTTAAACAGTGGTCAGTGGAGGAGCAGAAATGTGAAGCCATGTGTGTCAGGCTTCAGAATCTCCTCATATATGTGTGACATAGTTCTTGCTCTACTGTGTATAGGCATGGAATGTAGCTTATGTGTGACTATACCATATTTGTAAAGTCAAGTCTTTTTTTCCTCATGGTTCATCTTTTTTTTTCTCGGTGACAGTTCACTTCACTGCCTTTCTTTCTGGAACCTTAGATATTTCTTTGCATTGATTTCTTAATCTTGACCCAGCATTTTTTTGGAAGACAAATTTTGGAAAAAGTTTTTTTACTTCTGAAAACAAAACAAAAAACCAAACCAAACCCCAGACCAAACAAAAACCCAAGTGACAACAAAAACTTCCTCTGAAAGTTTCTACCTGGATCATTCATAATTGCATTTGTTCTTTACAGTGTGAGACCTGTGATTTCCAGCCTTTTGCTACGTAAATCTTTTATTTTCTATCAAGAATCTTGTGATATGAAAGAGTCTACTTGAACACATGACATTTGTGAAACAGTGATTCTTCTAAAATATAGGCTATACTAACTAGAGAATCAAAGAAACTGGAGGTAGCGAATAAGTAACTATGGTGGAGGCTAAATTTATTTTTCACATGGCTGTTTGAAATATTGATAATATCTATCTGATCTCCACTACTGCTTCTGTGAAGTTAGAAATAGAGTCTAGTCTTTTCTCTGATTCCTTTAAAACCCATTTATTCCTTCCATGCTTGTAGTTTGGTGTGATCAAAATTTTGCCAGAAATATGTGTATGTGGAGAAGGGAAAAACACTCGGATTTAGGCAGGCCAAATCTTCAGTGACAGAAGGATATACATCTACATGCAAAGATACCAGAGGCATTAAGACACCTTCAAAGTTTCCGAGGTCTCCTTCGTCACCACGCCCAGAGGTCTCACCCCGTACTTTGTACTGCAGGCCACCTTTTCATTCCAGTCTCTTTCCCTTGCTCATGCTTGACTCTCTTTCAGTCCTGCTCCTTGTGAGCTCCTGTTTTCGGCTCACTTGTTCTTTGCTCTGCCCTGTATGTCTAAGATTCTTAAATTTTTATTTGTATTAGAACTGGACTTCTCAGTTCAAGACCCACATCTTGATGCCTTCTGTTTTTTTTTTTTTTTTTTTTTTTTACTGTTTTCACAGTACTCGATATTATTTACCTGTTATTTCATTCTGTTTTAAACTTCTTTACCTGTTTGTCTTTTCCAACTGAATTATAAGTATGTGTGACTAGGCATGTTTATTTTTGTACCCTTAAGGTATTCTGCTTGTTTCTAAATGTCATGTTTAATTTTCCTTTCTTAGGCAATATGTGAAATTTGTAGTAGTTTAATAATTTTATGTATTTTGAAAAATTGATCATAGATTATCTGGGATTTATAGCCACTGTATGTTACTATTTAATTATCATAATTGATTTGGAACATAGGGTGGTGATTTCTTTTGCTATCTTAGAGGATCTTTTATTTTTTTAATTAAAAATTTAACATTATTGGTATATTCTTGATATTTTTCAGTCTTCCGACCTGGTGGTAGTCTTACTTCTTGACACTGTTGTTAAGTGACAAAGCTCTGTTTTGTGTTTTTCTTATGGCCTCAGTCTGAACACCAAACAGGTGTTGTAGATGAAGGGTCACCTGAGACTCGGGATTAGCAGTTGTTTTTCACTGAAATGCAAGTTCGCTTTCATCTTAGTCTCTGTTCAGGGTGATTGCCTATTCCTCTGCCTGACCAATCTGTATGTGAAATTGAGATTTTTTTTTTTTCATTTGCACTATTGATTACACAGTTCAAAGGCCGTTGTTCAGGATTGAAATATTTTATCACCTACCTTATAGAATCGTTGTGAGGATTCACATTTCTATTTGAATCTGTTGTTTGTATAGTAGATACTAAATGTGTTCATTCCTCCAATTTGACCTCATCACTTCTAAATTTGGTGTTTGTTTCTATTTATTTATGGTGGTATTTGTCATTTATATTTAGATGTGCATGGCCTTATGGTATATATGGAAAGAGGCTGTGACATTGTACCTTTTAGGAGCTCTCATTTTGATGCTGATTCGCTTGAATAGTTAAAGTAATTCCTTTAAAAATAGTTAAAGTAATTCCTTTTTTGAAGGGTAACATTGTGTTCCCCAGCCTTCATGTTATTAGATGTCATCTTGGATGAAAGGATGGGAAAGGCATGATTTTATAAACTCAGGGTATTGCATGCTAAGATTTACCTAAAAGTAATGATATGTTACATAAAGTCATACTCATTTTGTCTTTGACCTTTGGAAATAGTGGGGTTATGAATCAAAAATTATTAGTATTACTGTTAATTTAGCTTTACCCCTGAAGTGATGGAAATGAATGAAAACAGTGGGACTGTTGGGTGTATTAGTAGACTCATACTTGTCGACGTCTCTTTTGATGGTGTTTTCCCCCTTGTGGTCTGATTGAATGGTATTTATTTCTTGTATTTAGTTTGTAAGAATGCTCACATTAAAATCTCTTGGCCCTCAAGTTCTGCTGTGAATTCTAGTTGCTTGTTATTGATGCTTTTACAACCCAGGGAGGTTTGGTAACTCACTACATGTGCTTTAATCTTTAGTTACTGAGTTTGGTGTTATTTCAGGAGATTTCTAGTCTCATGCCCAGGAAATGGGATCCTTTGGGCTTTAGATGGGAGTGGATTGGGATTTATAAGAGTGAGGCTTCAGTCTATCTAATCAGGATTCCTCAGGACTTTGAAAA